TACACCTCAAAATACGATACCGTTAGACGTCACATTGCAAAGATGAAGCTTATCGAACTAGTGGCCGGAGGCAGAGTTTGATCTCCATCCATGACATTTTTCCGGTCTTGGTCTTTCATCCGACAGCCCATTTTCAAACTCGTACCTCTGTTTGACTGCAGAAAAACTCCTGGAAAGAAGTGGTTGTAACGTCTAATCGACACATTGTAAAAGAACTGGGATCGCGAACCGTGAAGATCGCCTTCGCACTATTTTCGGTATGACTGTGCAGAAAACCGTTGCCTCCCTGGTGGCATCAATCACAGCAGCCCTCTGTCTTCTTCCGAGGTACACCACAGTGAAGTCCACTACTCATCTTCCTCCCAAGTCAACTTCTCCATCGACCAGTAGACTCTCAACCAACACGTCCTTTTAGCCTATCGGCACGATTTTCCGACAGCAATACTACGATTTCTCTGCTAATCTCCCTGGATATCAATTGTCGGCTCTCCCTTTACGACCATCTATCGGCGGCAGCTACTACTAGGTGGCGGGCCTTCAGAACGTCTTATGAAACTATCCGTGGGCTAGTTCAGTCCCCGCAGGGTCAACGACGAGGTGGTACACGTGCATCCACTGCGGACGTACAATTTGCTGGGCGCCGCTTCGGGTTACGGTACTCTGGCGGTAATACAGTATCAGATTCTTGTTGCATACACGAATCCATGAAAAAATACTGAAAATAAAATGAATATACTGGTTTTGCGCACGCAAAAGCGATGTTTTCTTTCTATGATTCCTTTCCGCCTTCAAAACTTTTTACTGTTATCTCAAGAATGGCGAGATACGGGCATTTCTCGCTTTCCTGAGACAGGGCCCGGATAAATGGGAGATGCAGATTCGAGTCCCGCCCCGTGTCCGACGTTTTCACTTATCTCAGCATTATTGTGATAACTTTCGAAGCGCGAACTGCGGCCCTAAACAGCAATATTCATACTAAAAACAAGGTAAAAGTTGTAAAAGGCCGTCAACCTCGGTTCGCTGCCGATATTGGCTATCCGGCTCATCACGTTAAACGCCGAGTGCTATGAGGCTATGGCACAAAATTCCATTGAGCTGAGAGGGTAGGAGTGGCCCCGGTAGCGCAATGGTTAACGCAATCGCCAGTAAGCGGGTGCGCGTTCAAGTTCCGTCATCAGCCTCTTGTGATAAATTTCTCAGAGCAAAATATAGCTGTAAACAGCAATTATCATGCTAGAACAACGCAAAACTCTCTACTGTGTTCTGTTCTTGATGTTACACATGAAAACATTCATTAGCCTTCTTTATTTATTGTGACAACCTGAGACTCCAAGTATTTTCGTCGAAAATTGGAAAAGGATTACAATTAAGTGACAATAATCGCCAAATCATCACAGTTCACATTCCTTTGTAATGAGGATTCCATTCAAACGGGCAATAATCGGGAGCGTTCGGTGGAGCTACAGCGAATCCTCGATTCATCATTCTGCATCTGAATTCGTGGAGACGTGGCCAAGCCTTATCATGCGATTTTGTCTCGTCTGGATTAGACCACAACCGTTCAGCCACGGCAGACGCACGGGGCCTGAAAAGGGTTAATAGGTACATGTCAGCGTAGAGAAACTTCTCTTAAGTGCTTCTTACCACATGCGAGTCATGAAATTTGTTCCGTCCACGTATTCTCCCCACAAGGCTGCCTCGCCACCCAAAACACGAGCCTGGAAAGATAACGCATGATCCTCTTTTCACTTATCAGCCAGTGCCGAAATTTATTATTTCAGAGGTTTCATGAAACCCAACTCATCTCATGACAGCTCTGCTATGATACCACTGGAAACTGACACTTTAACTTTCACAAGAAAACACAGTATACTCCCACAGATGTAAGTTCGCGCTGACCGCATGGACGTAGAGAATCAACGTATGGACCTATGGACGTAGAGAACCAATTTTTGTGCAACCCTCATTGTCTCCCACAATACTTGACTAGGCGGCAGCACCTCTCTTGGTGCATCCTCAACACTACGAGCTCTGTCCTGTTATTGAAAATGTACTACTACCTTTCGGAATTTGCCTACACTTGTCTTGACCATAACGCTCCTCGCAGGTGCAGATTTATCGTGCAGAGAAGCGAACTAAAATGTCTATTTCCCACCCCCCCCCCCCACGCCAACCAATCAAGGTGGCTCCCAAGGAAAAAGGACTAATAGCAAAAGAAGGCTGCTTTTATGATACAACGTTTCCTAATCAACATCTGGAGATTTTTCTACGGCAAACACTTATTCGAGAAATTGAGAGAATCACCTTTTGCTTGTCGGTCCCCTTGAAATCGGTGGGATCACAGTCGTAGCGCTTTTCCCAATCTGCTCCATTCGAGATTATATCGAGGTACCTGAAACTGAGTATTTTGAGGGGAAGTCATCAAATACTGCTACTCAAGACTGACAAGGATTGGCGGGGTAGTATAATAGATAAGGATAGTAAATAGCGTCACCAAGACTGAAATCCAGATCAAACCATACAGAGCTTTCGCCTTTTTGAAAGGGTGTTATTGATAGCAGGTGCACTTGGAATTCTATAAATACTCTCACCGTTTGGTTGAATACGGTTAAATACGTTTATTGCCTTACTTATCATTTCAGAGTATATATCCAAGAATGAGCTGGTAAGTCAGAACGTTTTGGTTTTTCTAAGTTGAAAACCACCGGAAACAAGTGAAGCTTCGCTCAGACCTCATTCGTATAGCTGCACAAAAAGGACTGACTGTAAAGTCAGACTGACTGACTGATTCAGACTGTATAGTATCTGCCTGTGGATCAATATTATGTTCAACTAATTAAGATGGAACTAGCAAGGGTCATTCACTAGCTGGTTCAGGCGGCAGTCGAACAGCGAACAACGACTACGTTTGGTTGATGGCCCCCTTGAAGGTTACTCGACATTCTAAGATCACATTCACTGTTCCTTTTCCTAATTGTCGATTGGGAGAGCCATTATTTGATCCTACAGCTTTATTTTCGTCGCTTTTTTTACTCACATCAGCCTACAAGCCCGTTCAAGTACAGGAAACGGTTAAGCTTTTCCAGTAGAATAGTGGCATTTGTTCTTACCAGCAACTTGACAAAATTGCATAATGTCCGGCAGCTGTTACATTGGCCATTTCCTCTCCGGCTGCTTCTATGCTGTTTCCCTTCCAGACGTGCGCGATGGCATCCGAGACCTGAACTTTGAAGTTTACCAAAGTAGGGCCAGTTGTGTCGTAGGTAATCATTTGGCAGTGATTACGCTCCTGTTGATCGTTTTTATAGATTATTCAAAAGCAAGTCTCGCAGGAATCACCGTCCAATCAAACGTACTCTCTATGGTGATATTATAAGCGAGGTGAGGCCTTCAATTGTGCCTTCGTCAAAGCACACCCTCCTCCTTACAGGCATTTCAAAAGCGAAACATATCGGTGAACGCTACGCAGTAGCCGATACGATCAGCATAGAATACACTTTCAAGGTATTATGTTGCTTTCACATAGAACTAAAGGTGCAGTCAAAGCGCGATTCAGCGCAAAATCATGTTAAATTCAAGAAAATGTTCCTTACGTTAGCCCGACAGTTCGATGTTCAGTGAAAACAGAGAGAGTGAGCCTACTTCGACATTTTCCGAGTTCAGTAGCGTACTGTTTTATTTGTGATGGTGCCCCTACCATACGATCCTAGC